ATGGACTTGAAGATTGGATTTTGAGCTTAGATAGTTATGATAGAGTTGTTAGAAATTTTCCTTTTACATAGTTTTCAATAGATTTTGCATTGTAAGGACAAATGTTTTTCCGCTGCTTTTATAAATGAAATAAATTTTGTTTGACTTATTTATTTATTTGTTTACTTCCTTGCAATGAAATCGTTATGAAAATTGATGTTTGCATATTTCTACAACGAATGGATATGATTCTTAGTTATGTTATTTATGGGAATGTCGAGAATTTACCAAATAGGGAGAGTTTCTCATCGCCCAAAGTTTCAATTGGACTGAAATTTGGAATCACGCAACTTGGTTGCATGATGAATGAGAAATTTCATATTTGGAAATTAGACAAATTCGTTGACAAAGTGTCAAGTGAAGGACTAGGAGATCGAGTACACAAAGTTGTGTGTTAATCAAGTTCACCGTAAGAGTAACAAAGATATTTGTCATGATTTAGTAATGGCTTAGTAAATATGATTACACTTACAAGATTAAGTGTAATTCTGAATTGATTAAAGGGTTTAGATCAATAGTAGAACGAACAAGAAGAATCAAGAAGGCAGAAAGATAAAAGTTTCTCCATTCTAAGAAGAAGGGAGAGTAGCTTTTATGCTTTATAATGGGTCTTAATGATTAAGAACCATGTCTCAATTGATCCTCTAAGTAAGTCTTAGTACAATTGTATGTTTAAGAAGAGGAATCAAGGATTGAAGAAATGGTTAAATCAAGAAGTCTATCATACTTCGTTCCAATAACAAGTCTTAAAGTTAAGATTGTGGCAATGAGTGAAAAGTATTAAAGGTTTATAACATTCATAAAATGTGGAAAGTTGTGATGTCTTGAATAAGACAAAGACCAACTTGGACCAATTTATGAAGTGTTTTGATAAAAGCTACACTAACTCTTGAATATTTGGTTGTCAACAAATGTTTATTGACAAGAGAATCTTATATGTCAAGGAGTCAGTGGGAGTCTTAATGGTCTTGAAAAGTTTCAAGAACAAATCAAATAAACCTTATCGATCATCACTAGCACACGAGTTGAGTTTTACAACCTATCGTGTTGACATTATTTTGTTTCTGTGCTGTTTCCAATTGAGTTAATTATGCATGTGAGTTCTAGAGTTCTCATTTTGAACGCATAAAAGGCAAAACACCTTGATCAATGAAAGGTACATTGATAGGAAAAAGGTGAGATGCTTAACTACTTGGAAGACGTGGTGGGCAACTGTGCTACCATAAGGCAAGAAATCAAGATTAAGAGAGTTCGATCCATATGAGATTGAATTTGTCGTAAAACAAATTCACATGGATAGGAACGAATACACCGTTTAAATCTAAGTGTCATAAGATTTCCTTCTTCATGAAAATGATTGTGAGGAAATGCTTTCATTAAGAAAGATTTTAAGAAGATAGTGATTGTAAAATTGCATTTTCGAATTCGATCATGGTTACGGTATCCCTTTCCATAATTTGAATTGTGAGGTTTGACAATTAGTCTTAATTGTTTAGACACACATATGAACTATCTAAGGCAAAGGTGTATAAGCTTAAGAGGCCTTGATAAAAGATTATTAAAGCATTAAGTATTAGAAACATGGACTTAATAAATTCAATAGGTATTGTTTTTCTGGAAGTTAAGATGTTTTGAATACATGTCGACGCTAGTGGGAGCATAAGTGTTATGTTTTATAATAATCATCATGATAGTGGGAGCATAAATGTTATGATTGTATGATTATTAAGGCACGTATTGCAAAAGTTGGCAATATTAATTATAGAAAACAAGAGTTAAACCTCGCAAAGTAGTAAGGGTTATAAAGTTGTTTTGCTATAATTAAGGGAGAGAATATTATGCTTCATTTCAAATCTAAAGGATTAGGTTGTGGAATGTTAATAAATTTAGTCAAAGGTACATTGTGTGTTCTTAAATTTTCGATTATGATTACGGCATTCCTCTTTCGAATTTTGAGAACATAGCAAATAAAACATTGTGCATCGTGTCCCATACGCTTCGGGTATAGGATCGATTGCAAATGCTTTAATGTTTGACCATTCTAAAATTTTCCAAATGTCTAGCGCATTTAGAGGAAAAGGGACTAGAATCGGTTTTGACTAAAATAATTAAACAACTATCAAAGGACAATTCAAAGTTCGACGAGAATTGGTCGCTTGTGAGTAAATTGGAAGTATAGTATTGGAAATTATGGAAATGTTTCCATATTGGATGGATCATATCGACATCATTACAAATAGAAAAGATTCTATTAAGAATGAGTTGTCATATTGAAAATATGGAAGCGTGTCCATATAAGGAATTGAATATTGAAAAACTATGACTAGATTAGAAACTTTTATGCAAAAGGATGTTCAAAGGAATGTACTTTGAGTGAGAGACATCATATCTAAGGAATTGTCTTGTAACAATCTCCGTTAATGGACTTTGTAATATCATTGGCAATAGTCTTTGTGACTTTGGTGCAGTGACATTACGAAAGAGTTATTGCATAAAATGTTAGAATCTAGCATATTCCATAAGTGGCAAGAATTTGATATTCTTAAACTTATGAAAACGGATTGGGGAGTTGTGAAATGAGAATGAATGGAAATGTGTCAAATGTGATCTATTTCACAAAGTAAGAACCATAGGTAAACATTGTGTGCATGCTAGGAGCATGGGACAAGTGTAATAATTCAAGTAAGAAGTTGATTACCCGAAACGACAAATAATGAGTAATCAATATGGTGATAAATAAAAGGTGTTTTATTTATACTCAAAGGTTTGAGGCCATATGGGATTAGTATTATTCTTGTGTTTCACATTTGCATGTTTTGACTTCCAGAATAATTGAGTTTATTAAGAATAATCAAATTATTCAAACGGGCCACAGTCGTTCATATGTTGGAAGTAGATATGAATGAAGACTGTCGTGAATTGGTGTGTGGATTGTCTAAAAGAGTATTAGACATAAGCAAATGTTTGCTGCAACGTTCATGAGTGCTTATGAATATGATTTGAGCATTGGATTAAACCCATGCTCACTTGGATCACTCCATGAATTGTATTACGAGTGATTGGTGAGACGATAACATCTTATATTCTTGAAACCGAGATGTGTGAGTTGTATCTTGCTAATCAGTTACACATTGATAATACGTAAATGCACTAGTAACTTGGTGTTATAAAACATATTGTTGTGTGTGATTTGGTTAGTAAGTGCAAGCAAGCATTGTATCAAAGTTTATCCGTTCCTTTTCTCCAAAGAAGGATAAAAGCGATATCTTTTGGGCCCCTCGATGGTTTAGTGATGACAAACGTAAATGCTCGGCCGGGCTAGGGCTAATTTGATTTGTTCAATTAGTCTGTCATCATAAATCGAAAATCGAGAAGTAGTACAAAGAGAATGATTTGAAATCATATCTCATACGATATCTAGAATGGAGGAATATATGATCCCTTATCTAAGGACACGCGTATATGATAGGATCAGAGTTGACAGCGGCTTTGGAAAGCTACGATTGCAGATCAGGATATGAAGTCATACGCAGAATAGTTATTAGACTTATCCAAGTGGGAGACTGTTGGATTAGTGTCTAAGTCCATAACTATTTTGGTATGTACTTGACCCGATGGTGCATGGTCCTTTTGGGTTGCGTTCACCAAAGCAACTTGATTGGAGAAATAAATAAAGAGAGAGAGGTTATTATGATGTATTAATATGTTATAAGAATAATATATTAAAGGAGAAATCATATTTGTTTAATTAATATTGGTCAATAATTAATTAGGAATTAATTTTGTGATCAAGAGTAATTAATTAAACTAGAGGGGCTGAATTGTAATTATGTGATTGTTACAAAATATGGTAATGGTTATCCTAAATATGGGTTGAACGAATTCAAGGAGATAAGGATCCTTGAAATCGTCCAAAGGATAATGGATAAGGGTTTTCAAGGCTTATCTTATGGTTGCTTTGTGGATAAGCAACTAGATAAGGATAATGACTGAAACCCTATCTCTACACCTATATAAAGACCCTAAGGCCTTAGAATTCATGTACTTGTTCCCAAGAAGTCCTAAGGATGAATTCTAACCTCTCTCCTCTCTCTTTATACTTTCTCCATTTGCTCTTGGTGTTTGTAAGCCATTAGAGGAGTGACACTTGTGACTCTAAGCATTCCAAAGTCAATTCAAGGAGATTTGGGATTGTTATTGCTACATAACAATCAAGGTATAATATTAAACCCAATTACATATTAATATGATTACTTGAATGCTAGAATAAAGGTTTATAGTATTGGATTCAAAGCATGTACAATAAAGAAACCTAGATCCAAGCATTAGGGTTTGTATGAGCACATAGGATGTCTTATGACCAAAACCCATCAGATTTTACTTTGTTCTATAGCATATTTCTTTCATTTGTTTCCATATTAGCAATATACATTGACAAATCCACCTAGTACAAATTAATGAGTGTAAAAAAATCATCAAGGGAGCATAACTTGAATAATCAGGTTGAAATTTATTATCAAACAAAAATGTTTCGTATTGTAGCTAGTTGTGTCAATATACAAATGTAACACCAAATGACTTTAGCCCAGCGATATCAGGTGTTGTCATAAATATATATATATATAGAAGTGGGTTCGTGTACAAATGAGAGTAAGATGTGAAAATGGTAAGAACCAATAGGAAAGAACCATGTGTATTAGAGTAGTTGTTGTTTTTATTTCACACGTAATCGTTTGTTTTTTATAAATTTTTTAATTAAAATGTTATAAATGTAATTTTATTTTGTAGTTTTTTTTTAATCTAACCGTCATTGACAAGTGAGTAGTCGGTTTTCAAATTGATGTAACCGTTTATGTGTAATTGTTTCAAGGTCTACGTTTATGTTGTTTGAAATTTTATTCAGAGGGTTTTCTTTTAGTTTTATCTATATTAGATTATGTATTTCAACATTATTCAACATAATGTTTGCGTTTAAAGCTTTGTTAGATGCGAAAGTGAACAGGAATAGGCAAAGTTCGAATTCGAAACTCATGAAGAAATTTACAATTGCATCACAACGAATGGTATCCAGGAAGAAGGATTATTTAAATGAGAATGTGGTTAAAGTTGATTGCATGGTTAATTCTCGTGATCATCCTATAGAAATAGAAGATGATGAAGTATCTAAAGGGAAAAAATTTATATATGATGAAGTTAAGAAGAAGAGTAAGTTATGATGTGTTGTTGTTAATGTTTTTCAAATTGACTTATTTTATCATTTTTTTCGGTTTGATTTTGTTATGGCTGCATGTGTAGATGATGAGAGTACAATTGAGATTTATTCTAGTAATTCTAGGAATAAGACAATTGACATTTCATCTAGTAATTCTTGGAAGAATAAAAAGCCAAGGAATAATGTTAGTCAGTCTGATTATAGTTCGATGAAAAAGAGAAAACATGGTTTGTTTGGTCGATTAAATTCAAAATCATCTGATTCAGAAGGTTATTTTTTATTGTGTGGTTATTATTTAAGTTTATTATTAATGTAGATTATAATTTTTTTTTTGTTGGACATAATTTAGATTATGTAAGTGATTCTGATTTTGAAGTTCGGAGCATTACAAGGAGCAGGAAGTTGGTTAACAGAAGTGTTAGAAAAGTTAGTAAAACATTTGTCTCCGAACATGGTAAACTTGAATATAATGTTACTTATTTATTGTGTTATTTATTTAATGATTATGTTTTATTAATGTTTTTATATTATTTTACATCGTTTGTATGTTGATAATTTTGTCGTAGAGTTTTCTAGTGATTATGATTTTGAGGATGGTTCCAGTAGTAGTGTGAAGAGGGTGGATAATATAGCTGATAAGAAAGTTGAAAAGAAAATGGAGTTGCATAGTGATAAAATAAAGTCATTGTATTCTCGTGTTTCTCTTCATTCTATATATGGTGTTGTGAAGTCAATGAATCATAAGCAAAAAGAATGTGTGAGGAGTTTGGGGTTTGGATCATTGATAGACATGAAGACTCAAAGTATTCCAGCAAAATTATGTTATTTTGTTGTCGATTCGTTTGATCCTTTAGAGATGGTTATTAAAACTGAGGTTTCTAATATTTTGGTTACAAGGGAAGATGTTAATAGGGTGTTAGGGCTGCCTATGGGGGTTGATCAGTTAAATAGTGTTGGTTTAAGAGGTAATGAGGAATGGTATGAAATATGGAAAGATCAATTCAAGAAGTCGTTGTCTTTAATTACTCCAAATGATGTTGTGTACAAGATAATAGAACGATGTGAAGCAGATATGGTGTTTGTTGCAAACTTTATTATTCTTGTATGTACATGTTTTGGATCATGTAACAAACAAGGTGCATGCAATTTGAAGCTTCTACCGTATTTGTCTGAATCATATAAGTTAGATAAGTTTGATTGGTGTACATATGTATTAAATTGTGTAAAAGAGGAAAAGTTGATTTGGGGTAGAAGTGATATTAAGACCTTCTTCAATGGTCCAAGTGTCTTTCTAATGGTATGTCATTTAATGTTGTTTGAGTAAATATTTTTAAAATATTAGTAATATTTATATTTTGTTATTATATTTTGTTTTTTTTTTGTAGTTGGTATATGTTGATAGGATTCAATGTAGGCAAATGTTAATGGTTAGAAGATATCCAGTAATTAATAATTGGACTTTAGAGCAGTTGAAAGTGAGAGAAATGAATGAAATTTCTAATGGAGGTTTTGGAAGGCCATCTGCTATAGTGGAAAGTGTTGATGAAGTTTCTAGAGGATCAATTTTAGTAAGTAATGTTATTTGTGTATTTTTGAAGTTGAACATGATTTATTTGTTTGTATGTTGTTTTTATGTTTAAAATTTAAGTTATATACATTAATTATACTTTGTTATGTTTTTTATTGTTATCAGGAGTTTCATTCAGAAATGAAGTGGTGTTTAGTAGATATGTCTAAGAAAGTGGATAAAGCCTTTAAAACGCATGGAAATTTCAAAATAGTAGAGTTTTATGGATTGAAGCTGAAAGAGTTATGTTCTGCATATAAAGCTTTTCATCATAGTAATTATAAATGCGAATATGCTTTTCAGTCATCTGGAAAAAAGTAGTAGTTGTGATGATAAGTCTAATGAATTTCGAGATGTTGGGCAGTCTGTTAACAACAGCGTTGGTGGTAATAAATATGGATCGGCAAATTTGTTTGGCGAATATGGAAATATGGAAACTAAGTTGCATGTGGATTGCGAGGGTGGTCATAAGGAAAAATGTGTAGTTGAGGGTATTCCTTCTTTTAATTTAGGAATTGATGACGATATGCATACTCCTCCAAAAGTGAGTCCAGGTGTTGTTGTTAATAAATATGGATCGGCAAATTTGTTCGGGAAATCTGGATTTATTGAAACTAAGTTGCCTCTGGATTGCGAGGGTGGTCATAAGGAAAAGTGTGTAGTTGAGAGTATTCCTTCTTTTAATTTAGGAATTGAGGATGATATGTATACTCCTCCAAAAGTTAATCCAGGTATTGATAGTTATGTGCACAATAATTATGTTTCTGTTGGAATAAGTTCTGATTCAGTCAAAGGGAATGAACCTAAGTCTTGCGATGAAAGTGAAAAAGTTCAAATTCTTGAGAAAGATATGATTTCATCGAGACCAAAGAGAAGTCAAACGTTACCTCCAGTGCTTAGGTCTCCATTTGTTGTACGAGCTGTTGAGATTGATAGTAATTTGACAAAGGAGGAGAATATCAAGTCTAATTGGTTATTCAGTTTATGTGGGAATCCAACGTAATGTGTTTGTGTATATGTATATATATTTTTATATATAAATAATATTTAAGTTAATGTTTTTTAATTTTATTTTAATAGGGATGATCTTTTTCATAGCATAAATGGTCAACGTGGGGAAAGATACATGTTTGAGAGCTTATATCCGGGAGAATTTCTTTTTTCTGGGACTATTAATTGTTTTGTTGAAGTGTTGAACTATGATGAGAGAGCTAGGAATTTGGACACTTCTTCATGTTTCTTCTTCAAGACAGTAGTATTGGTATGTATAGTAGTTGTTAGTATATTTTTATGATGTTTATTGAATTTTTGTTTTGTATTTAGGATCCTGCATACATGCATAGTGAAGCATGTAAATATGATGATGTGTACGAGAATTTTAAAGAAAATGTTTTTCATTGTTTGGGAGAGTCTAAAGAACGAAGAAATTTAAAAGGAATTGATTTGGTAAGTTTAATTTTATTTGAAATTTTATTCCTTTTGTGTTTGTATCTTACTATGAAGTTGTTTATGTTTATTTAGGTGTTCTTTCCTGCATGTGCAAACAGTCACTATTTTGTGTTTGTTTTTTATTTTAAAAACCGCAAAGCTGTCATATTGGACAACATATTGTATAGATCTTCTGAAAAACCATACCCTTATCTTACTCAAAATCTGGTAAGTTTGTTTGTATTTTTTTTGTTTAAATGTTATATATATATATATATATATATATATATATTTTATATATATATATATATATGAATTTTTGTTTATATGTAAATGCAGAAATATATGTTTGGTAGATATCTTCAAGACAAAACATTTTATGGCTTTTTCAGTTATGTATGAAATGGAATTTGTTGATCAATATATGACGTGGAAAACAAGAGGTAACAGTAATGATTGTGGGATTTTTTTGATGCGTCATATGGAAACTTATAAAGGTGGTCCTTTAGCTCAATGGAGATGTGGTTTTAAAATGGAAAGTGTTGAGCAGATTTTGCAACTTAGAAATCTTCGAAGAAGATATTCTATGAAAATTCTGTTGAGTGAAGTAAATCTAATGAAAAATGAAGTTGACCAACTTCTTGTTGATTATCAAAAGCTTTCTTCAAATGGCAGGCGTGTAATGTATCATGAAGGCATTATCAATATAGCAGCTAGGTTAGCCGCTTTTGGTCCTTGATATATCTTTGTTGAAGTAAAATTCAAGTCGTTATGTTTATGTAGAAGTATTCATAGTAATGGTTATGAATGAGTTAGTAGAACAATTTGTTATGAAGTTTTTTAAATGTGTGTTTGTTTTTGGTTGTTGTTGTTTTGGTTGAATGTAATGTACTTCTACGAACATAAGTTTATAATAATATATGAAAAGTGTGGCTACGTTTTTTGTTTTTGATTTTGATTGTATATGTATAATCTTTTATAAAGTTAATATATTTACAATCATATATAATATTAACATATATAAATACATATATCTATAATCTTTTAAAACCATCATATCTAAAATTTTCAGAGTAAGATATCAACAATAATATATAATATTAACATTATAACAACCACGATAGATAATATTTAAAAATATATTACAGTCCCCATTACAGTCATCCCAAAAGTTTGAGCACATAAACATATTATAAAAACGTCCAAATATTAATAATAACACCATTTACTTAAACCCAAAAACCCAAAAAACCCAAATTCCCACCTTTTCACCTTGCAGCTTCATCTACTTCCCCAGAAGATTCACTTGATACTTGGTGTAATCCAAAGCTTCAATGAGTTTGTCAACATTTATCCAAAAGTTGAATTTGTCAAAAAGCATGATCCTAGCCTCCCAAACAGTAATTTTTGGATTTGATGCAACTATTGAATAGAGTTTCGTGCACAGATAACTGTTTGTTGCAAAGTTTAAAGTTTTTGGGAAGAAGTTTGTAACAGTGGTTTGATTATGCTCCAAATAAACTTGTTGAACACAAAAAAAAACCTTCTGTTTTAACTTTTTTGACAAAGTTAATGAAATCATTCCAATAAGCAAGCTTGTTTAGACCAATGTCTAAGGGAGCAAACGAGACTAAGAGTATGCATATGTTGTCTCAACATCATAACCAAAAGAAGTTAAGATGCTTTGAAATACCTTTGGGGAGAAAGTTTCAACCTCGATGAAGTCTACATAGTCAATCTTGCCTCCATCGTAATCGCGATTTGGGTAGTATTTCGAAACTACCTCCATGATGTAGCATCATCGTGAAGTACTTTTTGTTTTCCCACCCTGAATGAATATTGAAAAGAATATTATATAAGTATTAATAGTATACGATTTTAACAATAAAGAACATACCATATGTGTCGTAAAGATCAAGATAATCCGAGGAGTTTCGAACTACCCAAATGGATGATTTAGAAGCCATCAATGTATGTGTTTTCTTCCTTAAGTTTATGTTTATGTTTAGGAGGAATATATAGCGGTAACAATCGGAGTAAGTAGAGGAGTAATTAATTTTCTGCCATCATTTGCTTCAATAAGTGGTATAGCTATTTTGGCGGTTGTAGGTTTAGCTAATCATGTTATCTATACATTGAAGATGATAATACTTATCTTTTTATGAATTAATTTTTTTTTTGTATTTTATAAAACTAATCGGTATATATTACTTTTTTTAAAAAGTTGATATATAGAAAATAATTTTTTTTGTATGTTATAATGTGATAATAGTGTTGTTATTGTTTATGTTTTTACATTTTTTTTTCTTTAATTTTTTTTTAAATATAAATTATAAAGTTAGTATTAGATGAAAAGGTTTTTATGTGAAAGAAATGTTTGTATTTATTGTAATTAAGGTGATTTGACTTCTCTATTTATGAATAGATTTAAGTAATAAATGAAAGATTTTTTAAAACATTTAAGTAATAAATTTCGAAAAAAGTCTCATAATTTCAAATACTTTATTCCCTTAACAATTCAAAATTAGGTTATCAAAAAGGATATGATAAGAGTTTCATAATTAACAAATGAGACAAAGATAATTTGCTTAGCCATTTCAAACTTAACATCTGTATAGTGTTCTATAAGTCATTAAGCTCATCGATCTGCAAATGTCACCAACAACCGTTACGTACTAACCTAAAGACATGCATGTCAAAATAATATATTACCTTTTTTTATTAATTTGATATATAGCAATTTTTTTTTGTATGTTATAATGTGATTTCAGTATTGTTATTATTTATAGTTTTTACATTATTTTTTTTTCTTTAATTTTTTTTAAAATATAAATTATGAAGTTAGTATTAGATGAAAAGGTTTTTATGTGAAAGAATGGTTTGTATTTATTGTAAATAAGTTGTTTTGACTTCTCCATTTATGAATAGATTTAAGTAATAAATGAAAGATTTTATTAGGTTATATAGTATTATATATTTCTGAAGATTTGTTGCGTGTATGTACATGTGTATAATATAAAGTTACTATTAGATGAAAAGGTTTGTATGTGAAAGTGTTGTAAGTATTTATTGTATTTAAGTTAATTTGACTTATCTATTTATTATTTTTAATATTTTTTGTAATTGTTAATTTTGAAGAGATTTAAGCAATAAATGAAAGATTTTATTAGGTAATATAGTATTATATATTTTTAAAGATTAGTTGCGTATATATACATGTGTAATATCTAATATTATATTTTTCAATCTCATTAGAGTTAATATTTTTAATTAAATGTTTCTGAATATTTAGTTGATGATTTGAAATAGTCTTAACATATATTTCGGAAGATTAGTGGCATATATATATATATATATATATATATATATATATATATATATATATATATATATATATATATGTGTGTGTGTGTGTAAGTTATAAATAAATATATATTGCAATATAATGTATATTTTTCATCAACATAAGATGTATAAAAAACAAATGAGATTGTGTAATTTTAAAATACGTTGGTTCAACATGATTTTAGGAATTGTACATTTGTCAAAGACATGGTCAAAAGAGTTGCAGAGAAGATGTTGAAGGAAAAAGAATAGGTACGTAATTCAAAATTCAAATTGTTTAATGCGACTAATAGTAATAGTTTTAATACAGAGAAGCTTAACAACAAATAAATCTAAAATTCATATATAAGTTACTGATGTTTTTTGAAAGGCCTAAGCACATTTGAAGGATTTATTGGGCAATTTCTTATATCATGGTTGACGAATTGGTTGCATCCTTTGCATTTGCGTTTTGGTTTAAGTGCTTTTGCTATTGCTTTTTCTGCAGCACTTTTGATTCGACTCCTCTTTCCACTTCCTTTTGTTTTTATCTCACTTGGTACTTTGATTTTCACATCACTTGAAATTGGAACTCCGATGATATTTTCAATCACATCTTTTATTGGAATTGAACTTGATCTTGTAGAAACATCCTTTCCACATTTTTCACTTAATTGTTGAAGAGAGTTCACCAATTCTTGTAGTTTTTCTTTGTCATGAATAACCGATTCAACGCATTTCTCAAAAAAAGAAGTTGCATCCTGCAAGAGATTTGAAATTTCTGTACTGCACACTCTCCATTTTTTGTTTATCTTTTGAAAACCAATATCCACTATGTTCTTTCTCCATCTATCCAGAATGTATTTTTCAGGTATCATGGCAATGTCATAATCTATAAGAATTCTCAAAGCATGACTACAAAGGATTCCAAAAAATGTGAAATGCAAACATTCACATTCAATTGTTTCATCTTTTGCATCAAAAGAAACCTGAGAAGTAATAATAAAATTTTATTCAAAAATATTTATAAATTCTAAATAATGTTAACTTAAAATAATAATGAAGTAGCATAATTGAATACCTTAAATTCTGGTCGCTTGCCTGATTTTAGTTCTTTGTAGACAATTATGCATTGTTGACGACCATCAATCAAAACCGAATTTTTTGAAAACACTGATAGAATGCCTTTTTTATTTGTTTTTGCACTTTTATGAATGCTTCTCGAGTGTATACCAATGATGCATGCTTTTCTATTTTCAAATTTTCATTTGGAAATAGCAGTTGTGGAGAAGTATCTCTTGATGCAATGTCTAATCTTTTTTGTTCATGACGCTGCTTTGAAAGTGCAGTGTCAAAGTTGAACATAAAATTAACAAGTAAGTTGGTTGGACTTGAGAAAACATTGAAAAAGGAATTAGAACTTTCAGATCGAGATGTAGTCTTCATAAGTCCACACATTGGTATATCTCTGAAATAGGATGGAATCCATTTATCTCTCTTGTTGAACATATCAGCCAGCCATTTATTTTCCTTCAAATGAAACTCATTCAACATCAAATCCCATTTGTTCTCAAATTCTGATGGTTTAATATTCATATTCCAAACTAGTTGATTTATGCGTTTCTTGAAATCTGTATTTGAAACTAAGTCAGCTTCAATCTGTCATGTTAAATTTGGTTTTATTAGTATATTTTCATAAGCTATATGTAATTCACTAAATTAAATTTTTGTTACCTTTGATGGCATTTTTGACATTATGTGCCACATACATAATCTGTGAGTACATCCTTCAAACACCTTTGCTATTGAACAAGATAATGTTGCATCCGTATCTGATAGAATCATTGTTGGTTTCTTCTTATGTGATGACAAAAAAGCTTCTAATAACCAAGAGTATGATTCAATTGTTTCATCTGATATTAGTCCTGCTCCAACGTTGATTGTCTTGTCATGATTGTTTATTTCAGAGAAAGGAACAAATATCATATTGTACCTGAAAATATTTGTAAAATGTATCCCTTATATGTAATATTATTTAATAAATATAAATTTTACCGTTTGTTCTATAAGTAGCATCCATTGATATAACATCAGAAAACTTATTGTAGTTTCTCTTCCTGTTTCATCAACCCAAAACATAGCATTTAACACATCATCATCCAACTTATATTGAAAATTGAAATTTTGATAATTATTTCTGCGAATTATCAACTGGTCTACAACACATTGAGCATCATTTGGTCCAACAATATTTGTATAATCTCTCCAAAAGTTTTTGAAATCATTATTTGTTGCTGGCAAATTATCATATCCTCCCTTTAATGATGCTCTTAACTTGTGTGCTTTTGTGGCACCAATGTTGATAGTTGAAGCTTTAACAATTAGTTTTTGATCAAAAATACTAAGACGATGATTTGGAGAGCAGATGTTTTCTTCATTAAATTTAGTAAGTGGATGGTTATGTGTGTCTTCAAATGCATATACAGTGATTATATTTGTTGTAGCATTTCTGTCAAAACCAATCATTGCCATACATCCTGTGACCTTAGAATATGATTTTCTTTCCTGTTTTTTCAGTCGTTTGGATGTAAGAGTATCAATGGTTTTTTTTTTTTTTTGGATTTCCATATATATGTTGCATCTTACTTGTTTTTTCCTTAGACTTAGATCCCCGTATTTGGTTGTTGTTCCTAATCTAATTCCAAAATCAACTGCTTTTGCATAATTTTTGTACATTTCAATTCCTTCATTTAAACTTGACACAATTTGTCCTTTTTTAGGAATGATATCTACAGCAACATATGGAATGTACACATCATCTTGATTTATATAAGATGTTCCTGTCAAATATTCAAAACGCTCAATATTGAAATATATTAAATATGTTCATAATTATGTATTTAATATAAATTAGGTAAACATGCCTTTATCCTTTTCTGTTGCTGCTGCACTTGTAGTTCCTTTTGAAAGTTGAACTCCAGAGTCAGTTTGTTTATTTTAAAATTATTAGTAATTGTTCTATAGAATTTAGTAATCTATCTTAAATTTAATTATTGAATAATAACATCAGAAATATTCATCTTATCATTTATTAAACTTGCGTTTATCACCATTGTTGAATGTTGATTTTGAAGGTTCAATAGTTAAAACATTGAATGAGTCTTCCGATTCATTACTTCCTGTCCAATATTCATAAAGATTATTGAAATAAGTATTTATATGTAAATATTTAGTAAATGAAATCTAATTAATCATACGATTAACTTTTTTTTACTTCGGATCATGAACATCAGTTTGAAGGTTGAAACTAATTTTCAGTATAATCGTAAAAATATATGTAATGAGTGTGTATCATAGTATTGTAATGTTAGGTATTTATAATTTTA